GAATACAAAGCCCCTTCTCATATCCCTGTTGCACTACTCATTCTCAAGAAGCCACCTCGAGTAAACCGCCTTTGGCAGTTGACCCGTAACACTACCTATATATGTAAGTTAGATACAAAGGGAATGTACTTCTTATACGATATATACGATACCGTTGTAGTTGTGCGACGTCGTGGTTGTCGTACTATATACGCGACGTCGTAGATATCGCGCATCCGTACCTCGTCGCGTATCTTTCCTAGTTACGTAATATTAGGGTTATGGTTGCATGTTATTAACCTGTCTTAACTAGGTGTCGTTCGTCTATTCTGTACTTCCTCCCCTTCCTAGCCGTACCGTATTACGGGATCGTAACACTAAGACCCCTAAGACTATACAGGAGGTTAATAAACAAGCGACACTAATTAAACAAAGGCTTAAAAGGCATCAAAGCAGTTCTCTAACGCCTATATATAAAGCGCTTAATTAGCTAACTAAGGGAGCTCAGATAATAGCTACTTTAGCTACGATCCTTTAATCGCGTATTATAGCCCTAGAAGAAGCAAATAAGGCTATACATATACGCAAATTAAGGAAGAGGAAGGTATTTACTATAGAGAATACCTTGTCCTTTCCTGAAATATAGTACGTTATTAAATAAGAGGAGGTAGAAGCACAAATCCAGGAGGAGATACCGAGGCCCGTAAAGCGTATTAGAAAGTGTAGCAAGTGTAGCCGTCCAGACTATAACGCAAGAACCTGTGTATTATAAGAGTTAGTATTAATCTACTATGTTTTTCAATTTGAAGGTATTTCAACAATAATTAGTAGAGCAATCAATTGTTGAATACTATACTCTTTAATACCTTAGACCGCGTTGGGGTATAGACCGCGTTAGGGTTCCCCGCGTTAGCTAACTCCTATAGTCTTTTGTACCTAACTTTCCCCTGCCTATATAAGTTACACTTCTATAGAAGGTCTAGCTGTGACTAGTCTTGTATCGCTTCTTACCGGTACGAGCTTCTTAGATATACGGTCTCTTAATCGCCCGGTCTAACGACTAATATCTAAACTCACTCGAGGATTTAGCTTTACGTTTCGACCTTTTGTCCGCTATTAAGGCTCCGATTTTCTTTTCGCTTTGTAACGAGATTAACGACCCTACTATACTATTTGAATCTCTCTTATAAGGTAGGGAGGGTATCGTGTCGTTTGGATCTAGAGTAACGTCCCTCCCGGCGTTACGAGCTACCCTATATAACGAGCTAGTATTAGACATCTTAGTCTTTAATATTTTACAACCCAATCGCATTGATATAGGACTAGTATCATATTTAGTAGCAGATTTTCCTTGATCTTTACGTGTGACTCACGATATAATATCCTCTACTATAATATTATCGTGTTGAATTTAGTCTCCTTTAAGAATCCGACCTCCGTCGTCGATCGCAGTGTTACGATCCCGTAACACGGTACGGCTAGGAAGGGAAGAGAGTACAGAATGGACGAACGACACCCAGTTAAGACAGGTCGACGACATGCAACCATAACCCTAACATCACGTGACTAGGAAAGATACGCGACGAGGTACGAATGCGCGACATCCGCGACGTCGCGCATAATGTGCGACAACTACGACGTCGCACAACTATAACAGTATCGCACATGTCGCACAAGAAGTGCATTCCCTTTGTATCTAACTTACATATATAGGTAGTACGAACGGACCCTATGTCTGTTCGTGTTGAACTTATGTTACTAACTTAACTATTAGAATCAAAGCCCCTTTCAGATATCCTATTGCACTACTCATTCTCAAGAACCCCCTCGAGTAAACCGCCCTCTAGCAGTTGACCCGTAACACGCACATTGCATTTCCTACATCTACTCTAATTTTCAAATATCCTGCTTGTTATATTACTCTATACTTTAAGTACATCTTGTATTTGTCTCTTTACTAGCCGATTAGTACTGTTCGATCCCGAGCACTCCCGTTCGTATCTATAGCGAAGTCGATACAACGACGCTATTACTGAGTTATATAGTACTTTTGAGCTAGCGAGCGCGCTACATCTTACGCCTCGTCGTATGTAGTTCTCTACGTCTAGGGCTACGGCTTGTAGTTTCCACACTAGCTGCGCATTATATTCGAAATCGCGCTAACTTTCCGTTCTAGAAGGCTCTCTTAGCTATCTCAACTAACTAGCAGGTATAAGAAGAGTGATCACCCTGTACCCTCTTTAGAGAGAAATTAGAAGAGAAGAAGAGAGTACAAGTTTATCGCTTAGAAAGAAGTAGGCATGAGAATGGATAGTAACTAGATACAATAATTCATACACGTTGCAATAAATACAGTAGGTTTCTACTTACGATACTATATGGCTCTCGTCTCGTGCTTGGAAGAGTGACACAGCTCCTGAGCTTTGCCCGATAACGAGCGTTTTTCCGTACACTGCCGAGCAT